GTTTTTAATTCAATTTCCTACACATCAAGACTAGGATAACAGAGATAGACAGTGTCCTCTAGTGGTGGTCTCAGCTTTTAACTGAAAAGAATGTGAAAGAAACACAACTCTTACTAACAATGGCATTTTACTTCTCAATTGCATCACGTAAAGGAAACAAGGTGAAATGGTCAATTTTAGACGTCATCAGGACCAGTTTTTCCCAATAGGTTTTCTTGGAAGCATAATGTTTATTGAGCACTGAGAGCAAATCTACTATGTTACCACTTTCTATAAAGGATGCTGTCTTTGTCATGATTGAAGAAATAAATGAAACTGTTAAACAAGTACTTAAAGTAAACAACTCTGTGAGGTTCCTGTTTTAGATATTTAGTGCTTGTTTAGGCGGCATTATGGATTATTCGTCCTACTCGAAACCATTAGCATCAAGTTCAAATTTCAAAACGTGTAATAGGTATAGGCAGAGAGATTCTCATTCTTCTGGATAAACAAAGAGAAATGATCACTTTAATAACAACATTTTTAATGATGGCAGGTGTACCTCTCACAGTATGTTGATTAGTTAAATAAATACATTATTTACATTAGTCTATTTTCAAACATCAATTCTTTGTACACTGAGTTTGAAAAAAAGTCTTTGTTTCAAAATAGGATCATTTTCACAGCTTTCTTTCGCTAAAGTAAGACTATTTCTAGGTTGAGTACAACATTTCAGGAGAAAGGCATTCTTTGTAAAATATTATAACTCTTTAAAACAGTGAACTTAGATCTAAATAATGTCACCTGGGGTAAAATGAAACGACTATTAATGGCTTTCTTTGATTTTTAATAGATCATATAAAGAATTCATAGCATCAACATTTTTCTTTATTTAAGTATATATCCTTAATATTAATTGATTAATCCTAAGTAATTTTAATGGCTCTACACTAATAAAATAAACATTAATTACCAAATAATTTCATGTCATTAATTTAAAAATAATAATGTCACTGATCAAAAGCGACTGTCCTTTGATGTCGCTGGTGAAAAGCAGGGACAACAAATTTCTGTGAATGGGGGTGTGTACGTACTGCAATCTGTGAAAAGACACATAGATAAATGTTAACATGTTTTTCACTTCACAGTAGCACTGAGTTTTGACTTTTCTCCGACTAGAATGTATCTTATAGTAGTCATGTTACAAATCTTAATCACCTAATTTTTTAAAAATAGGGTAAATATATTTTGACATTGGCATGAGATTAGCAGACTTTAAACATGAACATTCCAAGTGCTCGATCCATAATCAATGTGTCTTGTGAATGTATATATATTTTGTCATTTATTTT